CCCCCCACTGCCCTGCCAACATGGCTCAGGCCTGACATCTGCCGGAGCCTCTCCCTGGGGCGGAATCGTCCTTGGGGCCTGTTCAGACCTTGGCCTCCCTGCGGAGGTGTCCGGTGAGGCTGCTGTGAAGGTGAGTTACGATGTGAGCTCCTGTCTGCTGGGAACCAGACTCTGAGCCTGGGCTGAGATTGGTGACTGGGGAGTGAAAGGCCCCAGCTCCCCTCACTGCCCCCCCTGAGCCAGCCCAGCGCCGCCAGCCATTCAGTGCAATACCAGCGATGCTCACACTTGGTGACACAGCCAGTGCCCCAGCGGGCAGGGCGAGGGTCTGTCCAAGGAGCAATGGGCACAATCTGCAGCAAGGGAGACTGAGGCTGGAGATGAGGAAACACTTTCTAACTCTCAGGGCAGTGAAGCTCTGGATCCGGCTCCAAGGGAGGTTGTGGGATCCCTGTCACTGGAGGTTTATAAGAACAGGTTGGACAAATCCCTGCCAGGGATAGTCTAGTCTCTGACCCAGTGCAGGGGGCTGGACTAGGTGACCTCTCGAGGTCCCTTCCAGCCCTGCATTGCCATGAATCTAGGTTACAGCAGTTCCTGGGGCTGGGTCCAGGGCTCTGGGGGCTCTAAGTGTGGTGAGTGGCACGTGAAACTGTTAGTGACCATGGCAGCTGGCAGCTCAGCATCCCTGCCAGGGGCCTGGGCTGGCATGTGGCTTCCTGTACCTGGCTCAGCAAGGTGTTACTGGGCACTTTGGACAGGACCTAGGGTTGGCACCTGTCCATAGCGTTGCCAGGGGTCTGGTTTTTGATTGGAACGCCTGGTCAAAAAGGGACCCTGGCGGCTCCGGTTGGCACCACTGACTGGGACGTTAAAAGTCTGGTCAGTGGCGCAGCGGGGGCCTGGAGCTAAGGCAGGCTCCCTGCCTGCCCTAGGTCTGTGCAGCTCCTGGAAGTGGCCCCCAATTTACTTTCCTGGAGTTTGAAACTTTTCTAGCAGAACATAACCAAGTGTCAGCCATGGTCAAACCTACCTTTGAATACAGGTCGGCTCTGAGGGTGGGAGGAAATGTATCAAGAGGGCTGGTGCTTTTAGGGGAGTCAGGGACAAGACTACCTGTGACAGGCTCCTGTAAGGGAGAATGAGAGAACCCAGACCAACCTGGAAGTTATTAAATCCCTGGGTGGTTAGTTGGCAGCTAATCAGCCTAATAAAGGGTTACCAGGGCTCAGCTGAAGGGATCCTAGGGACAGGAAGCTGCTGAGGAGAGGAGCTCCCAGAAGAGCTCACCAGAGCAAGGAGCCTGGAAGGGGAGCTCCTAGAGCAGTGGTCCCCAAACTGTGGGTCGTGCCTCCCTCAAGGGTGTGGATGAACATTAGGGGGACCTGACAGGGCCTGGTCCAGTCCCTGTGGGTGGCGGAAAGGAAACGCCACCCAGCCCTGCTCTGCCCCCAGCTCCACTCCGGCCCCACCCTAAGCCCCAGCTACAGTTCCAGCCCCGGCCTCAGCCACTGACTCCCGGCCCTGCTCCAGGCTGTGAACCCAGCTGCAGCCTCAGCTCCAAACATAGTTCTGCCCTCGGCCAAAGTCCCCAGCTCCCGGCCTCAACTGCGGGTCCACTCCCAGCCACAGCCCCCAGCTTCTGGCCCCAACTGCAGCCCCGTTCCTGGCCCAGCTCCTGACAGCAGCTCCCAGGGTGCTATATCAATAACAACACTCACTGCCCAGCTCCTAAGGGCTTTGCCCCCGGTCTCCTCGCTGGGGTTGTGGGGAGGGGTTTGGATGGGGGCAGCTCACGCTCAGCCGTTGTGACAGGGTCACACTCTTGTGAGAGGTTTCAGAGTAGCAGCCGTGTTAGTCTGTATCCGCAAAAAGAAGAACAGGAGGACTTGAAAGTGGGCTATAGTCCACGAAAGCTTATGCTCTAATAAATTTGTTACTCTTGTGAGAGAATCTCACTCACTGAGCAGCAAACCACTGACCCAAACTCCCACTGGGCTGTGCTCAGAGCAGACAAGGGGCCCGTAGGATTCAGCTTGTTATCCAGTAACACACGGCCCAGGTCAGACCACAGCAGCCAGACCGGCTCCTCCTCCAGCTCAGAAAGCTCGGCCAGCCTTGGCTAATGGGGGCTGGGGCAGTGCTGAACGGTGGCCACACAACACAGCCCTCACATGTCCCAGGAGACAGGCATGGACACGTCATCCGTTATCAGTCTGTGCAGCTCCCAGCACAATGGGCTCAGTCCAGGCCTCACAGCACCTGGCTCAGTGACACCCATTAACTCAGCCATGGAGGGGTCAGGATGTCAGAGTGATGGGGCCTGGTCAGACACCTGGGAATATACCAGCCCGTGGGTGCGAGGGTTGCCAACTCTCCCGGACCAGATGGACCGGATGCCATACTGTGTCAATGACGTCCGGTCTGGGAGAGTTGGCAACCCTAGTGGGTCCGAATATCAGGCAAACTCCCCAGCACTGAGCACATCAGCCTCCAGCTATCACACAGCTCCAAGCCTGTCAGCTGGGTCCATGCGTGTCCTGGGGTCCCAGGCTCTGTCCAGATCCCCAGGCACAACACAGCTGAATGTCCCAATAGACTCCACTCACCTCCAAATCTCTTCAGCACCTCCCTCATGTCAAGGGAAATTTTATACACGTTCTTCAGGTCAGTAGAAACGGCTTCTGGTTCCTGGAGTTTCATACTTTCACTCCTA